GGAAGAATCACCAGAGCCCAGCAGGTCGAGGTTGCGGTGGCCGGGAGCGGCCACTGCACTCCAGTCTGGGCGACAGAGTGAGACTCCAACTCAAGAAAAATAATAATAATAATAATAATAACAAATATTAAGATAAAGAAAATGAAGAGAAACGTATGTAAAATATTTCATAAAGGATAATAATTTATAGAAGTGTTAAATGAATATTCTAGAACCGCAAAATACAATATCTACAATTAGATCACTTGATGTGTTTAACAGAACACAGCAGAAGGAACTTGGGGAACTCAGACAGATTGATAGAAATAACCAAATTAAAGTATAGAGTAAAAAAAAGAAAAGAAAGCACAGAGAATAGGAGACATCAGGGACATGACTAAAGGGTCTAACATACATGTCATTTTACAGTAAATGAAGTATAAAGTAGAAAAAATATTTAAGGAGGCCAGTCTTCTTAAAACTCATGCTTGTAATCTTAGCACTTTGGGAGGTTGAGGTGGGAGGATCATTTGAGGCCAGGAGTTCAAGACCAACTTCAGCAGCATAGCAAGACTTCATCTCTACAAAAAAATTAAAAAGTTAGTTGGTTATAGTGGCATGTGCCTGTCATCATAGCTACTTAGGAGGCTGAGGTGGAAGAATCACCTGAGCCCAAGAGTTCGAGGCTACAGTGAGCTATGATCATGCCACTATAGTCCAAACTAGCAACAGAATGAGACCCTGTTTCTAAAAATGAAAAACAAAAAAATATTTAAGGAAATAACACTTACATTATTTTACAAATATGACAAAAGTCACACGTTTCAGAAGTTTAACAAAATCCAAACAGAAGTAATACAAAGAAAACCACAAGTAGGCACTTCACAAACAGCTGAAAATTAAATATAAATAAACAAAAAGAAAAAAACCACACATCTCAAACGCAATTTTTAAAATGTATATATTGTTTTCAAGGAAAAAGCAGTAAGAAAGATAGCTGATTTCTCAATAAAAACTATTGAAGCCTACAGACATCAATAAAGTGCCAAAAGAAAAAAAATAACTACCAATCTTGAATTCCAGGTTGTACCAGGAAAGATATCTTTAATAAATGAAACCTATATAAATACTTTTAAGAAAACAAAGTTTAAGCAAATACATCATGGGCAGACTAGTCCTACAAAAAATACTTAAGAAAATTGTTCAAGACAAAGTAAAAATAATCATTGCAAATGAGAACACAGAAATGCAAGAAACAATAAAAAAGCATCAGGAATATCAAACATTGATAAACATATAAGACTCATGGCCATTTAAAATAACAATAATAAAGTTTTATGTAGTTTAAAATATATACCAAAGTAAAACATATTTTTTAAAAATAGCAAAACATGTAAGGCATAAAAGTAGCAAAAAATTTCTGCATTTTTCAGAATGTAGTGTAGTGCCAATTTAAGGTAGACTACAATAAATTAAAATGCATTTTATAATTTCAATGGTAACCACCAAAAGAATAAAGTTATGACTAACAAAATAGTCAATAGAAGAAATCTAATGGAATAATGGTAAGAAAGAAAAACCAAAGGAAAAGAAATCAGATGCAACAGATAGAAAACAATAAGTTGGTAGATTTAAAACCAAATATATCAGTAATAACATAAATTTAAATAGACTTACCCCACTAAAACACTAAATTTTAGCACTAAGCACTAAAAATTAAACACTAAACACTAAATTAAAACACTAAAGTGCCATATTGAATAGTAAAAAGATGCAAAGCTATTTACAAAAAATATACAACAAATATAAAGACAAAGATATGTTTAGAATAAAGGACTGGAAAAGATGTTCTATGCAAACATTAACGAAGAGCTGGTGTGGCTCTATTAATATACAAAGTAGATTTTAGGGTAAAAATTATTATGAGAGATAAGGAGAAACATTTTTAAAAAGTAAAAAAAAAAAATCGGTCAGGCTCGGTGTTTCAACCTGTAACCCAGCACTTTGGGAGACTGAGGTGAGTGGACTGCCTGAGCCTGCAGGTTCAAGACGAGCCCGGGCAACTTGGCAAGACCTCATCTCTACAATAAATTAAAAAAAAAAAACATTAGCCAGGCATGGTAGTACATGCCTGTAGTTCCAGCTACTTGGAAGACTGAGGCAGAAGGATCACCAGACCCAGCAGGTCGAAGCTGGGGAGGCCGTGAGTGTGCTACTGCACTTCAGCCTGGGCGACAGGAACTGCAACTCAAAAAAAAAAAAAAAAGTAAAAAAATCAAATCAATAGAAAAGAGTCATAAATATATATGTACTTAATAATATATATTCAAAACATATAAAGCAAAAGTTGACAAGACTAAAAGAAGAGATAGACAAATGCACAATTCCAGCTGGAGATTTTAACAAACCTTTCCCAGTAACTGATAGAACACAGATGAAAAACAAAAAATCAACAAGGTTACAGGAGTTCTGGACAACACTGAACAACTTGACCTACTTAAGATATATAGAACACTTTACAGTAATTGTAAGACATATATCATTTTCAAGTGCACACGAAATATTCATTAAAATAGAACCTACTCTGAGTTTTATTGTCAAATTTCAAATGGTCAAGGGATTGAAAATATACAGTATATGTATCTGACCACTGTGTAGAATCAAATAAAACCCAGAATAGAAAGATAACTAAAACATTTTCAAACGTCTGAAAATTAAGCAACATATCTCTCAATAAATCTTAGGTTAAAAGAAGTCACATGAAAATTAGAAAACATTTTAATACTACAGAGATTTAAGTAAAATTTTTAAGTTAAAAATAAAGACAACATTTTAAGATGACTGTTAAACATTTAAGGTGAAAATACAACATATCAAAACTTATAAGATGCCTAAGTTTGGAAGTTTACTAAAAAGTTAAACGCACACCTTCCTCATAACACAGTCATTGTACCCCTAGATGTTTACCAAAAAATAAGGAATGCAGATATTCATACTAAGATTTGTATATGAATGTTTATAACAGATTTACTTTTAATAGGTCAAACTAGAAATAACCCAAAGGTCTGTGGACAGTTGAATGGATAAATAAATTGTGATATATCCATACAAGGGAATAATACTCAGAAATGAAAAGTTACAAACGATTAAAACACATGAGTAAATATAAAAATATTGTGTATAATTTTATCAGACAATAAGAGTACATATCCTCCTATCCCTTTTACATAAAAGTCTAGAACTCAAACTAATTTGTAGTGACAGCAAACAGATCAGTCATTGCCACAGGATAGGGAGGGACAGAAGCTAAGGCTTACTAAGAGGCAAGAGGTAAATCTGGAGGTGTTAGAAATGTTCATCATCTTTGACTGTGGTGATAGCTTCGTGTGTGTGTGTGTGTGTGTGTGTGTGTGTGTGTGCATATATATATGTCAAAACTCATCAAATTGTACATTTTAAATGTGTGCAGTTATGACTGATTATCAATCAACTATATCACGATATAGCCACAGAAATCTGTAAGTAAACTTATAGAAGGTATGAGACTTTTTGCTTCTGCTATGGAAGATTAATCAGAGTAACTATACTGGAGTAGCCTTCTCTCTGTAAGCAACTATACTACGAGACAAAAATAGATGAGGTTACTGTGTTTAGGCATTTGACGGCACAAGACTACAATCCCTGAAGGGAGGAGAATTCTGAGCTGAGCATTATGATTGTCCTGGATCTCTGTTTGGGGACAAATTCCTGACTATGGCACAGTGAACTGAGTCTCAGCAGGGCTTGGCAGTCTCACTGAGATGAGTCAGGAATTCGAGTCTGGGTAAGATGAAGTGCCTAAAATCTGAGGGGCAAGGTACCAGGGAGAAGGGAGCCTCGAGAAGCAGGAGTCAGGGAGAAATATATGGGGGTTCCCCTCTAAATCCCTGGCTAAGGGCTGGGCTATACCTATACAAGGCAAGACTACATGACTTTTCAGAAAGTAGCTTCTTGGGGGAAAAAAAAGATACAAGACAACAAGCAAGTGCTGAGAAGTGTTGAAATTTCTGTTCAGCCAATAACTCATTAATCTCCAGGATCCAACTGAGACACCCAAAAGGCTATACTTTAGGATTAAGGTCTACACCTTAGATTAAGGCCTTCTCTGGACCCATCTCAAAAAAAGCCTAAAACCATGTCCAAACAAGTTCTCCGGGGGAGAGAGAGTTTGTAGGTTTAGTCCTGCCAAGTTAATGGGGCTTGGGAAACACCTTAACAAAAGGTAAAACCAGCTGAGAGTGGTGGCTC